CTATCCACAGTTTTTTGTAGTTTCACTTGGAACTAATGCTTCCTTACCTTATTTCAGACAAAAAAGACACTTACCTGCAACACTAAAGGGCATTTGTATTGTAAGTGTTTTTTGGTTTGTTTTTTACTAGGAATTGGGCCAACTATATCCATCCTATTGGTTACAGAGGGATCCTCTGTACCTTGACTGAGTTTCTTGATACACTATATCTGAAAATGTGATACACTGTAAATACCCTGAGCATCATCATATCATCATCAGTGTAATCTCTCAGAAGTTATTAGTGTTCTGGGAACCAGATGCAATGAAATAAAAGTTGTACCGTGATACGCAGCCCACACTTTGAAGGTGATCTTCATCTCTGAGGAACATTTCATTGCAAGAAAAACTAAACCCAACATAAGTTATCATTATTTTAAAAGTAAAAGCATCAAACATGACTTTCAAATAAGCTAATACAGTGTCAATACATTGAGACGAGAGACGTTTTTATTATTATGTACAGATAACTTCTCAAAATCATCCCTCATATTAATCACACAATTATTATTTGTGGTAGTCAAGTCAAGTTTTATTTTGACAATCCTTACAGGAAACCAGCCTTTTACCGCTGTATGACCTGCCGTCTGTTGGCTTGTGACGTTGCTGATGACAGAGACAAAACAACACGGGGACAACTGTTCATACTAACATGAGTCGACCATAACATATATCTTACGACTGTCGATCTCCTTGACGATAAGAAAGGTCAACAACGGGGTGAGCTTCCGACCTGCTAACACTAGCTAACACTAGCATCAGAGCAGATGATTGGATTGTTTTTAAAGCTAGCCTGCTAGCTGGCGTTAGCTGGCTGCTGACATCTGTGTATCGGTGTTGGTGTGCCCTTTTTAGACTGGTGGCATAGTGGTGGTTAATTATATTCAATATCCTACATGTTTTAGCAGTAATGGTGGAAGCACAGCAGCGTGTAAAGGTTACCGCTTTGTAGAGGAGGGCTGTCAGCAGCAGCACACACCGGTTGTAGGTGCTGAGGTGAGGCTTCAGTCTGTTCACAACGCTTCTCAGGCGGTGCACTGTTTCGGTTTTGCTTGACTCCGTGTGCTGAGCTCTGTGATTAAAAAATGTGTGATAGGAGTTTGATTAACAGTGGCTTAAAGGTCTGTCCCTGGATCATTATTTTGGAGACGACTTCCTGTTAAGCAGCGTTGCAGACTGCTGAGGAACAGTGTTGTTATTGTCCGTCTGAAAAGAGCACATTGATTTTCATAGGAGGGCTGTGGTTTTCATTTCTATGCCATTTTAATTCACACACAAAACACTGGCATCATTTAAATTACATGTTTTTTTTTAATTTTATTTCATGCACTACATCCCTTTGGGAAGTCATACTCAAGAACTCAAAGTTTAATGTGAGATATTCACTTATGTTGAGGTTTCCTGATGTCATTTAATTACTTCAGGTCAATTGAAGACCACTTGTCATTGATAATGCAAAGAAACCTTCATTCTTGATTGTGGTTATGAGAAACAGTCCGTGGTTTTGTCATGTTATTTTTGTTTATAAAAGACTACTTGACATGGCAGTACATTATTCAATTTGAGCATTTGCAAAAAAGAGAGCTGTCAGTGTCAAAGTCAATTTACTAGTTAAAGGGAATACTACTCTATGAAAACTGTTGTGTGATGTTTTCTGTGGCTCTGGAGTAGCTTTGTAAAGCGGGAGAAAATAACTCTAATGATGGGGAACCGCAAAGTTTTACCAGTCTGTATTATAACCAGGTTGAAATACGAGTTAACTGGTGAGCAGCAGCACAAATGAATTGGGATCTGAACAGAAACGCATTGCACAATAAGCAACAACCCACATTAGTTACCTAGCTTCCATTGAAAGATGCCTGTGAACGTCCTTCCTGCTATAATTCATAAACACGAGAGAAAAGAAATGAACCGGTGGGACTGTAACGCATTTTTGTCGTCCTTAGATGTAGCCGATGAAATGGAGTATGATGAGAGACTTGCACTTTTCCGCCAAACCCGCCTCAATCCCTTTAATCGTGGAGACGAAGAAGATGGTCCCCAAGGAGGCAAGACGCCCCCACAGCACGGTAAAGTTCTTCACAGGCAAATCACGACACAGCCATCTCAAGTGTACAATGTGACCTTTAAGGTCACTGTCACACCTGTAGTGAGTTCAAGGAAAGAAAATATTGTTGCATTAGGGTCAAATCTGTTTCTCTACACTTGTTACTGACCAAGAGGCAAACAAATATAAAGTTATATGGACATCATTTATTGGACCTCATTTCTTGGACAGTTTTGTCAACCTGCACCATCAGCACTACACTGACCCATGTGGAAAAATAAATACAAATTTATTCTGGTGACCGAGGAACACATACTTCACTTCACCTCACTTTATGGTGCATTATTAGTCTAGACTGCAACTGGACCTTATATGTGATATGCTACATTGCACTAAAGGGACCTGCTAAAAGTACACAGACTCGAGCACAACACAACTCTCTTTTACCTCTGTTTGGCTTTCAAATGGACCAGAGAAAATACCAGAAATTGAATGGTGGCGTGTGTATAAGTGCAGCCGATAAAACTGTGAGGATGAGGAGTTAATGGCTTTAAACTCCTATCTTGATGATGCAAATTTACACTTTGGCAAGAGAGTATGTCTAGTCTACTTTGGCAGACATCCCGCCATCGTTTCAATATTCTGTTACACTGTTAGAGATGTCTGGTTTGGTAGACTAGTATTGGCCATTTTAATGTGAAAAATAATGTGTGGTCTGTCATGAGGATGATAAAATACTCAGCTCCCCTCGAGCATGCTGTCTGCTGTATGAACATTAGGATAAAGATAAAGTATTTTATTGATCTATGGGTGGAAAGGGGGTGTAGTAATCTGTGAAGTTATAGATTGTCTTGACATTTCCCTTACTAAACAGAGAGGTACTGCAGTGGGAGGAGTTTCAGAGGTCATGGTTTCTGCTTTTCTAAATGTCACTTATTTGCAGATGTATACTAGCTGCTTAAATCATATCATGTTGCTGTGGCTCAATGTTTAGGGACAGTAAATCCTTTCTCTAACCAATTTTAAGAAATAATTTCCCTCAAATATTCACACAGGTTAAACCATTTTCATCGAGTCTAGACCAGATCCTAATACATAGAAGGAGCACTCTGGACTGTTACCAGTAACTTTAAGCGTATGGAAAAGGAAGTTGAAAACTTGGGCTGGACCAGGGGAAATGAAAAACATAAGTGTAAGCAGTACTTTAGTAACACTTCTGTATTTTAGGATTTGGGATTTAGGCAAGTCTGACACACTGGTTGAGCTGATCTCAGTGGTAGCACATGTTTTCTGCTTCATTATCCTCTCTGTCTGGCTCTGGGAAGCTGAATTTATTCAACATGTTCTGTTCTGACGTGTATGCAGGTAACAACCACGTTTGCACTTTTTCAGTATGATGGAGAGCAAGTTTGTTAAAATATGTGATTAGTGTGGTTTACTTACTTACTTTTCAAATGTTATTTTCCTCGCTCATTTTTAGTTACTTAGTTTTCAGTTTATTTTTTCTCAGTTCAATTTTGCTAGATTTTGCAGTTTTGTTGTTGAATTTTCAGATCAAAATGTCAGTCACACTTGATGGTTTCAATATACACTGTTGATACCTAGTAGGTATGATCAGACTGTCTTTTAAGTGTTAATTTGCTAGGATTGTGTTCGACATACAGACCTGGGTTGGCCATGTGCTGTCTATTGCATTGCCATTTTTAATTTTGTTGTCTTATTTTTCCCTTAAAATATTTTTCATATAGACGAAATGAAAAATTACTTACCAAAAATCGAATCTCAAATTCAATAAAGAATGCATATTACATAGATTTAACAAAGAGTACATTGTACTAAAGTAGTATTTATTACCAGTTTATTTTATTGGTTTGCATTAAGCTGTACATGTGATGCTGTCCTCTTAGTACAGTACACATGATCAATTGTTCCTTAGTTATTCCCAGTTGTGTGTTATCTTATCATATATTCATTTCTAATTGAAGACTCTTGTCCCACAAGAAGTTGCACTTAGAGCTAAATGTCTTTCTCAGAAGTTGGTGGAGACCAAAACAGAGCTATTTGTCAGGTAGACATAAACACGTGTGCAGATGAATCTGTCTGTCTGTCTGTCTGCTGTATGTGTTGATAGGCACTTGTTTGCTAACCAGCTTGCCATAACAACTTTATCAAGTTCAATTAAATTTTATTTGTATAGTGCCAGATCATAACAGAAGTTATTTCAGCACACTTTTCAAATAGAACAGGTGTAGACTGTACTCCTTATGAAATATAAAGTGACAATCAGATGTGTTTCAGATTATTCCGCTGCCCTCAAGCATAAGCTCTCCTCTCATGTGAATGATTACGTAAAGTCATCAGCACTTCAAAGTTCAATCAGCTTGGTGAGCAGCAGTTTTAATGGCACAATAGGGGTCTGTCTTGGTTACACATTACCAGAACGGCTAAGGCAATCACCCGTAATTCCTTCAGTTGTCCATTTTGAGCTTTTGTCCCTCTTCTTGACTTCTCGAGTGCTGAGACTGAGTGTAGGGATTGTGACCACAGTCAAGTGTGTGAAATTAGCATGCATGATTGAGTGCACATACCAGACCATAGTGCGTATGCTAACAAGAATAACAGTGCTTTATGCCACATTGCCCTCTTTTTAGAAGCAAGGTCTGAGCTGTTCTCTGGGACCCGGACCCACAGTTCAGATCGTACCATGGACCTTGGTCTAGCTGAGGACCACTTCTCGAGGCCTATGGTAAGTTAAGCATTGTTCCTGCTGTTTACCTCAACTTAAATAATGTATCACATGAAATGAAACTGTTTCATATTGTCAAACTGGGAGTGCTTTGAAAAAAGAACTTCCCATTCTATTTACTCTATGCTGAGATATGCCTTTGCTCACCTTATACAGGGTTCGTTTGTGGCGTCCGACATTGAACAGCTCAAACTGGCCATAGAGGAGTGTAAAAAGCTGATCTTGGAGCTGCCAGAACACTCGGAGAGACAGAAGGACACTGTGGTGAAACTTATCCACCTGCGTCTCAAACTGCAAGAGCTTAAGGTTGGAACTGAGGAGTGAATGGAGAAGTGCATAACATGATGTCAAAGCTGTTAGTGCTGGCTCAGTGAGACAATCAGTAAAACTTCAAAGAAATTTAAAATTGACTTATTTTAATTAGATTTTGTCAAATGCATCGCTGTATACAAATCTTTGCTGGTAAAAAATGTATTCCATGCCAAAGAATGCCATTTCCCTCTATTTCTGGAGAGGCATTTTCTGAAACAAATTCTGCATTTAAATGCATTTGGAAAACATAGAATTTAGTGGTTCGAATAACTTAATGAGTGCAGTTGTTTTGGAGGGAAAAGTACATTATGTTGTAGTTGGTCAGTAACTGAGGAGTTATGGGTGGAGATCAGTGTCAGAGAGGTAATTGAGAAGATTGTAAGAAACCCTGCTGGGCCTGTTGTGTGTTAACAACACATTTCAAATAAAGGCTTTTTTTAGCTTTCATTGTATCACTTTCAGCCTTTTAGCCATCGCTCTGCAAGAGATAAATGATAGCAAGCATTGCAGACATTCTTGAAGACTGATAAGGAGAGGATGTTTTCTAGTGGCACAGTTTCTAGAGATTTTCTTTAAATTACAAAAAGTACAACATTACTTATAGTCTAGTGTCTGCAGAACACTCAAATAAACAAACCAATTTGAATGCATTTTGTAGAAAAGAGAATTATTTTTGTGTATTGATTTATTTCCACTATTGTTGGTGATTTTGTGGTCCTAATAGAGGTTTTTCTTTAGGGGCAACTGTCTACCTTTACAAAACCTCTGGTATCACTCTGGTGATAAAGCTGTCTAGGTGGAATGCTGGCAATGTTTCAGGCTGATTACTGTAAACTAACCAAATGAATCTTACTGCATAAGTCATGGTACAAAAGGCACATTTTCATGAATTAGGCTCCACTTCAGTTCAAATATTCAATGACTTCTTAGGATCCACACCCATTCTTTTTGGAGTTTTTTATTGACATTGTGTCATTTTGAATCATATCACATGGATCGGCTGAATATACAATATACAATGCTGTGTACTATAGAGAATTTTCCCAGAGAACTTTAGTTATATATAATATATATATCGTAATGCAGCTGTATGTTACATTGAAATCTGATTTAGGTTGAACAGACAAGTTACGGCTTGTTTTTCTTTATTTGTTACTTCTTTGTTGGTGATCTGGGTGATTTCTGTTTTGACACTTTGTCCAATAAAGGACCCTGAGGAGGATGAGCCTAATCTGAGAATCGTACTGGAGCACCGTTTTTCCAAGGAAAAGAGCAAGAGTGTCAAACAGACCTGTGACAAGTGTAGCACTATCATCTGGGGCCTTATCCAGACTTGGTATACCTGCACAGGTGAGACACACTATACAGTGCATCAGTCTAATGTGTATCAGTCTGATATAGCACTGGGGAGACATTTTAGTACCAAAAAAAAAAATGCAAGAGCATACCAGCTTTATCTGATTATATATGTTTGTGCTCTCAAAGCTTCCTGAACAGGCTCTCAGTATAGTACTTCCCCAAATATTCATGTGCAATCCCGCTGTCTCACTTAAAGCCACATGCACACTGTCCTGTTAAAATGTGCTACTGTCTGAGCGGATCAGAGATAGTGAAAGTAATTTTATCTGACCCATATCAGATTGCTAGTTAGAACAGGAATTCTGAGACTGTTCAGCTACACTAAATAGTTTTAGATTTTCATTTTAAAGTATCCCTGAGTGGAAGCATCTTTGTACAGCTCTTTAAATCCGTAACCAGTCATTCATACCAAACCCACTGCCAATACATAAAATAATTTGTCATGCCGTGTGATTATCCCTTTCTGGTTTCAGGTTGCTATTACCGTTGCCATAGTAAGTGTATGAACATGATCACCAAGCCTTGTGTCAGATCTAAGGTCAGCCACCAGTCGGAATACGAGCTCAGCATCTGCCCTGAGATAGGACTGGACCGGCAGGACTACCGCTGTGCTGAATGTCGCACACCCATTTCACTGAGTAAGTACAGATTTACTGTGTTGGTTAATGTATGCCAAGTTAAAATAGAGAAACAAGATGTAGGCTGATTTGAAATTGACATGCGCACACAGTTATGAATAAGGTTACTTTACAGCCATCCAGAAATTGCTGACTTGAAATTACTGGGCTACAAAAGTTGAGCGTGCACATATTCGACTTGGAACATTATTTATTATCTACTACATATCTATATCAATCATATCAGTACCATATATTTCTAACATTCCTCTGTTTAATAGTTTGGCTGTACTGTGCCATATTTACCTTGTAGGGGGCGTGCCGAGTGAAGCCAGACAGTGCGACTACACAGGCCAGTATTACTGCAGCACATGCCACTGGAATGACACGGCCATTGTCCCAGCTCGTGTCATCCACAACTGGGAGTTTGAACCACGCAAGGTACCCTCAACAGCCACAACAAAATACACTCAACATATAAAAAATCTGTAATAATATATATATGCCTAAATCTTTAATATATCAGTCTATAGGACTTCTTGTCAAGTTATACCTCTTGAAAGCAGGAGATGGGTGTATGATGTGAGCTTACTTTACATGTGTTAACTTATATGTATATAAGTCATTTGATGAGAATCCTTTCATATTGTATTTTATTATTGTTTGTCATTGTTGAAAGAGACTCAAATCTTCAGCTGTACTCTTATAAATGTTACTGCTTAATATCAGATGTGCACACCGTTATATTACAGAACAACATCAAATAACCTTAAGCGAGCTCTCTGCCGATGTCAGAGTCAATTTTGGGGTGCCACACAGCCTGTGAGAAAGTCTTACTATGTGGCTCTAGAGGAGCTTTTTTGAATTATAAGGACATTTCTCAAGGGGAGTCAGCAACATCAATAACCTCAAATTAAATTCCCATCTCTGATAGAAATGCCTGTTTATGAAAGCCAGTCAGCATCTGACCAATTTCAAGTTCATCTCAGGTCAGGAGGAGGGTCGTGAATCCAGGTCAGATGATTCACATTGACCTATTCAGGCGGTTCACCAAAGCAGGTTTAACCCACTGTCACTGTGTTAGTATGAAAAGAGCATGCAAGAGTATGGCATATTCAGTCAGTCTGTGTTCTCACGTTGTCTCAGGTTTGTCGCTCCTCAATGCGCTACCTGGCCCTGATGATCCCGCGACCTGTGCTGAAGCTGAAAGAAATCAACCCGCTGCTATTCAACTTTGTGGAGGAACTGGTCGAGATCAGGGTGGGTAGCTTAGTTCACCAGTGAAGGCCCTGCAAGAAATTGTGGAGTTTGAAGTTAAGAGTTAAGTTAAATTCTCCGTGTAGATAAAACAAAATCCGCAGTTCTGATTATCTTTGACAGCTGTGTTCTCAGTTTCAACCTGGAATCCCCTCCTCAAAAATGTTACCTCGACATCTTTATTATTGATACTGTTACAGTTGTTTGGTCAATGGTCACCCAGTGTGTCGTAAAACTTTACTATGTTTTAGCATTAGGTGCTATCGTACTGAAAGTCAATCAGTTTTTGTATGGAGTACTGCCAGCACGTGCATTGCAATTGGAAATCATCTACAGCGCTGTGCATTAAATGAGACTGACAGTAATGTGGGTGTTTGTGTGTGTGTCTTTTCTTTTACAGAAACTACGTCAAGATATTCTGTTGATGAAACCCTATTTTATTACCTGTAAGGAGGCCATGGAGGCTCGCCTGTTACTACAGGTCAGCATCTGTTCACAGACTAAATAGATTTTTCATGGTGCAGTTAAAGCGTTGCATATATTGGCACGATATACTTACATGTGATCAATAAGTAACATGTTACAACAGCACCACCAGGTGGTGGAAGTGGAGAGTCTGGGCCACATCTGGAATGTTTGTTTGTACAAATACTGCAGACTTGGCTAATCTTGGCTTATTTGTCCTCCTAATATTTCAAAACCGTGCGCATGGGTATTTGTGAAACAGTTAAAAGACTTTCCAACAGACAAAAAAAACATATAATATATGTTCACAAATGTTTTGGTCCATATTGTGGTGTTTGTTGGCTAGTATGATCTCATTAAATGATGTAGTATATTTTCCCTCAGCAGGGTTGGATCTTATGGTATGTAGGTTGCATATGTTTCAAGATGATGCCCATTTTCATGAATTGTTTTCTTTCGCTCTGTGCCTCCAGCTACAAGATCGCCAGCACTTTGTGGAGAATGATGACATGTACTCACTACAGGATTTGATTGATATCTCTAGTGGCAGACTCAGCTGTTCCCTCACAGAGATTCACACCACATTTGCTAAGCACATCAAACTGGACTGTGAGGTGAGCTCATGCATAAAGCACAAAGAACAATACTAATGTTTTCTTTTGGTTTTTGTAAGCTTATTGCCTCTGTATGCATCACACATAACTTGATAGCAGTAGAAAACTTATTACCACACTGAAACCCTGACGTTCTGTCTCATTTCGCGTGTCTGTGTGTAGCGTTGTCAGGCCAAAGGATTTGTGTGTGAGCTGTGTAAGGAAGGAGACATCCTGTTCCCTTTTGACAGTCACACCTCTGTCTGCCACGAGTGCTCTGCTGTCTTCCACAGGTAAGTTACCACCAACCGGTCAAAAATGCAGCAAATTATGTGATTTTGAGGAGTTTAAATGTACATTTGTGAAGAAAAGTATAGCATTGTGGTAACAGGTACAAAATATTAAAGCCTCAGCACTTAAAAGACGTTCAGTCATTGGGCTAATTTAGTCTAAGATCATCGGTTAACATATCTTCAAACTGCATACAGAGAAATAATAAAGGCATTAATGAATTGGTCAGATACAGATAGCAAAATAGTACAGTTGGCCAAACACTTCAACATGAAAAACAACATGTTACCCAAATGGACACCATTAACATGATCTATTATGTAACACAAATTGCTGTTGTTCATGTGTCTCTTTAGAGATTGTTACTACGACAATTCCACAACTTGTCCACGATGTGCCCGAATGACCGAGCGCAAGCAGGACGACGATGTGAAAGATGCATAATTCTGGAGAGGACCACCTGATGTGACTGGAAGTCTCGCGTTGTGTTCTATTCAGTCAAGACAGTCTGATAGAAGACTAGCTTCTCGTCTTTGTCCTTGGTTTGTTTTGTGCATATGTTTACTGAAGTGTCTTTATCTTCATGTGCACTACATAATGAAGCAGGGTATTTAGAAACCCATCTGGAAATTAATATATATATATTTTTATCCAACTTTTTAATCCATACTGAAATTGGATGTACTGAACACTGTGTATGTGTGTCGGTGTGAGTGATTCACATTAGTGCGTGTGTCTGCTTGTATAAATGTACAAAATAAATGCCCTATAGAGAAAAGCCAACTTATCAATAGGTGATTATGCATGCAGGAGTTGTATACGGTATTAACTATTACAAGCTTCGATTGCATTAAGCTATACTGCCAACATTGCTGAATACTAAACTTTAAGGTTGCCATATACGATGTGATTATAACTCCAGCTTCCAAAGACAAAATCACAAAAAAATATATTAACCAGAAATTTGCCTTTCAGCTTCCAATTGTGTTTTTATTTTAAAAACAAAAACCAGTAAACATGCTCTAAAGTTAAACGAGTGACCTTGCACTGAGCTGTTGTTTCCAAGCACCAGATAGTATAATGCATAGTGTTTATTTAGTTTCAAATAAGTAATGAAGTAAATCTGTTAGACTATGTGATCATAACATCACTGTAACTTCCTCTTTTCCCCTTTTTACACATATTCCTTCATCAGTTCCAACACTGTTTACCTGTTTTCCTTTCAGAGTCATAATCTGTTGATCTGCTTAACATTTCATAAGATCTTCAAAATATTTCCAGGCCTTTAAAGCAATATTTCTTTTGAGCAGTCCATTTACACCTCACCCTACAGTATAGGTCTGCTTTAAGTTTGATTGATCAATTAGCCACCCTGGATACCGGAAAAATAAACATGGCTTGCAGTTGTTAGACAAGAAAGGTGTATATACGTATAATCAATAAAACCATAATTTGAAATATAAAAACATATATTAGCAATAGATACATAATCAAAGCATGCATCACCAATACATTTTCTTTTAAGGAGAATTTAATTTAACTTTAAAAATAAAAAAAGGCATATGGGAGTTAAATGTGCTTTCATGTATTCAAAACTGTGAACTCAATGTACACTGTTTAATCTGTGTTTAATCTGGTTCAGTCTAGTGCAGTGTGTAGCAAAATGATGTGAATACTCATGAACATTGTGTGCCTAAGATTGTCAGGTAACATACAGCAGTTATCCAAACGTCTTAATACATGTTAATGGTTTCAGTCTTAAAGTACCTATAACACATTTTGTCCAGAGATGACGAAGATGTTAAGTGACACCTTTGGTAATGTGTAAATGTTGACCTAAAGTATTTGTTTTAAAATAATGAGTTATGGCTGTGTTATCTTTCAGCATGATGTACTGTATTTGTTTTTGTTTTTTCAAACTAATGGACATATGTGGTGTTGGTGAAAGCCATGCCCTCTTGGAGAACATGTTTGAGTACTGCATGAATAAAGTAATGAAATGCATTAAAGCTGCAGTGTTGTGTTCAAGTCAAGTAAAACTTTCACCTATTCAATGATGAATTGCAATGTTAGGCACCCCATTAGCACAAAAACAGTGTAAAAGTGCCCTTTTTTTCTGGCCATATCTGATCACACTTGCTATCTACACATACTCAGTGACTATGCCATTCCTTGTTTTGGCTAAGCCATTTGACTGTCAGGACAAATGAGTTGTGTTTTTAAACACAGACTGCCTCAGGGGCTCCCTCCCTCACCTGACCTGACCTGACCCCTTTAGGCCCCTGCACTTCTGCCTGGTAGACCCGTTTGGTAATGCATCCATGTACCTGTTTTAAGTTATTGTCAACAAAAGAAGCCCAAAAATGATATTACTCTCCAACAGAAGTACAAATACAGTATAGTCGTAAACATTGCTGCATGAGTACAAACAGGGAGCTCACCAATAATATGTTTGTATCATTGAGTCAACTCTGGAAAAAAAACAACAAAACAAAAACCCAGAATTAAATTCCTAGACAATTTTCTACACCATACACATGCTTTAGCTTTACTTTGAGATTTAAGATCAAAATGAATAAAGAAACAAAATTCATGGCCCCACTCCTATATATTCTTTCCCAGGATGGTGAAGTCATGTCCCGCCCTACTCTGCCTCTGAAGTACCCTGACATTCAACCCTCACCACGCTCACTGCTCATGCCTAAACCTAACCAATCACACCGGTGAGGCAACAAGTCCTAACCAATCAGAGCCAGAGGTGGGCGGGGACATGACTTTGCCACCCTGGGAAAAATGAATCTGGTATAGGCTGCGCGGTGCTTCTTCATGGCCCGGAGACAAGTTCAGAGCCAAGCCGAGAGAAAGCTGACACGATGGGGCTTCTCTCTGTGAGTCTCGGGCCCTTTCGGAACCGGGTTCGGTCGGTCCGGACGTGGAGCCGAGATTTGTCCACCGTTTCAGCTACTTTTCGCCACAGCGGCGCACTCGCGTCGGTACGGTGACATTGTTTTTGTTCTTGTTGTCTGTTGTGCAGACTCACTGCGGTGCTCTCACACTACTTAACGAGTGCAAACTTGTTATTTTACGAAAGCTTCTCGCAGATGTGTTTAACGACGGTGTTTTGCAGGAGTTTGAGTCCGGTTTGCGACTGTTTTTGGGGTCTGTCGTGGGAAAAGAACAGAGTGTTCCTTAGTGCAGCCAGCAGACCCAAAATAACCTCCAAACAAACAAACTGCAGCACTGTTTATGTGTCTCTGCTGTTGTTTGTATCCTCAGGAGACGTCCGTTTGACAATGTCCAGTTTATAAGTCGGTTTTCTCTCTGTTTCATAATGTTTTGTTCGGAGGGGGCGCGTCTCGGTTGGTGGTGTGTTCATTCGGTTGCATTTAGGTCTTAAAATAGGTCAAAGCATGCACATAACTTGTTGGGTAGAAATCAAACTTTTGTGTGCGAGAGTTGGCACCTAAAACTATGTTTGAATGGTAGGCTGCATATCTTAACTTCGGAATAACAAGCGATAGATGTTCACTGGCTGGGATGAGATAACTATCTTCAGTGGACTTACTTTGCCTTGTCATTGCCAGATAAACCATTTGTGAAAATGTAGTTGAGATACTGTGGGTGGCGCATTTTCCATTAGGGGGTGACACTTCCAATTAAAGTATTTATTCTCACATGAAATGTACAAATATTGTAGGATTTCTTTTCTCTCTGGTGAACTTTGCATGGTAAATAGAGCCCAGCTGACACACTGGCAGGCTGATATTAGCAGCACATACTGGGTTAGTATCAATACCAATATTGGTGTGTATGTACACACATATGAGCAGAAACTGGCAGTCAAATATAATATTGTATTGCCAGCATTGTAATGCTTATCTGGCTTATTTTCCTCAATTCAAGTTTAATTTAGTTTTGTTATATGTTTTTATTCATAGATAATAATTAAAAAGAAACTCAGAAAATCACTTTTTTATTTACTGTTATTGGCATATTTGATTAAACTCAACAACATATCTTTACTCAGATATATATTTATGTGTAAACAAAATGTTTGTATGTATGCATGTGAAAAAATATATAACAGCGTCAGATTTTCAATATTCTCAAGTATCAATAATCATATTATCAGTGTCTGTAACCCTTTAATAATAACTTAATCTGTGTTTGTTATGCACAAGTGACAGATATGGTGGTAAACACCATGTGAGCTTTAAAGCAGCTGTTCAGTATCAAGTATAAGTGGGTTATCTGAAACAGTATTGTAATGACTTAATGAAGTTAACTGTTACACAGTCCAGTATCCTTATAGGTCATAATGAGATTTCAGTAATCCTGTAAATAACATTGTTTGGGGAAAAAACATGTAGCAGACAGATTACTCATATTAACATGGAAATTAGTCTGCATGACCCATTCGTAGCTGCAGATGCCATGTTACTGTTGAATCCAGCTCCCTGTTGCTGTATATGTATATTTAACATATTCAACACTACCTTTATTTCAGAAGACATCAATGATCCAAAGGAGATGTGGAGGATTATATCAACACAGTTTCCAACTCGCTCGGTTACATAGCTCAAACAAACCACCAAGAGGTAATGTACCCCCTAATGCTGTTACACTAATGTAACTGAATAAGTGCACAACCTAAATCTTTTTGGGGTCAGTTTGAGCTGTTTGCACTCAATTCTTTTGTTCTGTGTGTTTTTTGCTGTTGAATTGGTTTAGGTTTTGAAAAGTTTTTCCCAAAGAGTGAAGAAAGCACTGGCTCCAATAAGTCAGCTGAAGGTGAGGAGGGTTTGAGTCATCTTCACAAACGGCATTGGTACGTCCTCTTTTCTCAGTTCATCAGAGTGATTTTATGTTGTTCTTTAGATGAAAATACCAACGAGCAAGAATCTCAAAACCCAAATGATGATGAGGACGAAAGACGAAGAGGAGGAAAAAAGGGTGACTCACACTGGTGGACACGCTTTCAGGTAAGGTGTAACTCTTTTATTTAGGTTGTTAATGCATCTCATTAAATGCACTATACAGAAACACCAATGATGTGGAACATATTTTCTAAAATGCTGGAATCTGAGATCTTTGAAAGTAAAATGTAAGCCTAATCTTTTACTTCTTTTACTCATAAGTGCAAGTTAAAGTTCTTCATAATTTAACATCTTTTTGTCACATAAATTAATATTCAGCTCTATAATAATATTCTTATTACATTATTTGTTGATGATACAGTTGTCTTTCCACTGTAAAATGTCGCACACACTACATATCTGGTTCACATTTCTTTCGTCTTGAAATTTAATGAATTCTTATCAAAATTGTTGGTTTGTGTTATGCATTGATGTTAAAAAATTAATATAAGCTTTCAAACGTTGAAATGGACATTTTCCTGAAAACATACTGTTAAAATGGTTCTCCCAGCTGTTCTGGGAGGCAGAATACTGCAGCCACAGGGTGAGAAGAGTGACTTGTTTTTCAGTGACACAGCTTGGCCTTTAATCAGTTGATCTCCTCTCTCCTACAACATTTCTTTTATCTAACAGGATGAATTTCCCTTGGATGAAAAAGTATTTCGGAACCTTGCAATTGGTGCGGCAGGCATGACCTCAGCTTTTTTATACTTTTATTTCCGAGAGACGGGGGTTCAGATCTCCTGGAAGGACTTTGTGCATCACTACTTGAGCAGAGGTTTGGTAAGAGGCAGAGCGTGTTTTGGTTTTGGTGTTGATGTGTGTGTGTGTGTCTCCTTATCTGTGTGTCTCTTTTATCTTATCTCTCAAATTGGTTTTTGTTCTCTCAATACAGGTAGATCACCTGGAGGTTGTCAATAAACAGTATGTCAAAGTGATTCCTGCCCATGGAGTGAACACATCAGAAGTGGTTAGTTGCATGAAAATTCTGTTATGTCCTCTTGGTTTTTTGGTGGTTCAGTCCTAGTTTCTAGTCATGATTTCGTTTTCTGAGTTCATGGTCTCCTAAAAAACTGTTGGCCTGAAAATAAATGAATGCACACACACACATACACACTCATAGATAAGAAGTCTATAGATTAAAGTAAGCCTATGTAACTTTTGCTGAATGGAGATCACCGTGAGTGTGACAAGGGGCAATAACGGAATAATGGTAAGTTCTTCTTCCTCTGTACTTTTAATTGTGATTCACAAATGAGCAAAATCCGTCAAAATCCTGTGCTAGGAAGTGAATTTTGAGTTAATGTAATTTGGTCAAACTACAACGTCCAAGGTCAAGTTGAACCTTGATGCTCAAAAGTACTAAACTTAGCCACCATAAGCTGCTGGTCCGACTAAGTAAGACTCTAGCAGCAAGCGAGTACACTGAAACGAGCAATGGTGCGATTTATTGCATATTTTCATTTGTAAGAAGAATTGATCTCTTTCTTGTTATTTCTTCTTTAAAAAGTATCACAGTCTTGCTTTGAAGTTTAAATAATATAAGCATATGCACTTTATACTGCATCTTTTTTGTTGTCTGTATGTTTCAGAACTATTTGTGGTTCAACATTGGCAGTGTTGACTCATTTGAGCATAACCTGGAGATGGCCCAGCAGGAAATGGGTCAGGAGTCCACAAAGAAAGTACCTGTATTCTACAGCAGTGAAAGCGATGGGTGAGAATTTCACCCAATGAGCACCTGGAACTTTCATATTAAAATGACTTTTATGCGTATAAAATTTATTCATGTCCTCTTTCCCCACAGAACATTTCTTTACAGCATTCTCCCAACCTTAATGCTGGTTGGCTTTTTAATGTTTGCCACGCGGCAGGGACCAATGGCAGGAGGTCGTGGAGGTAGGGGGCGAGGAAACCCCTTCAGCATGAGTGAATCCAAAGCCAAGATAATAAAAGACAACATCAGCGTGCGATTCAAGGACGTTGCAGGCTGTGAGGAGGCCAAACTGGAGATTTTGGAGTTTGTCAACTTCTTGAAGAACCCACGGCAGTACCAGGACCTAGGAGCCAAGATCCCAAAGGTGTGACATATTGTATATCACAAAGGATTGTGACATAGAGTTAGGGGGTGAGGGTGATGGGACAATGTCAATGTGCATTGATCATTAAGTAACTCCTTTGTTTTCAGGGTGCAGTCTTATCGGGTCCACCTGGTACTGGAAAGACGTTGCTAGCTAAGGCCACTGCTGGAGAGGCCAACGTCCCCTTTATCACCGTCAATGGCTCAGAATTCCAGGAAATGTTTGTTGGCGTGGGCCCAGCGAGGGTTAGTACTGAGCTAAATCCCCCTTGAGGAGTCTGGAAGCTGAATGATGGGTCACATGCAGTTCATGCTCATCTGTAACACACAAACACAAAAGTACTTTGGATTGTTGTGTCGAAGCTAGGGATATAAAGGGCAATCTAGCTTTCTTGGCGCTCTGTGTTTGAAGTTATGCTGAATTGTAATTTCTTTTTCTAATATATTAGATAAGAGATATGTTTGCCACAGCTCGAAAAAATGCCCCCTGCATCCTTTTCATCGACGAGATTGATGCAGTGGGCAGGAAGAGAGGCAGAGGGAACTTTGGCAACGAAAGCGAGCAGGAAAACACCCTCAACCAGTTGCTTGTGGAAATGGATGGTATGCATTATATCATTTGTGTTCAGTGTTTTTCTCCCATTCCTGTCGCAATATTTCACAAGATCTTTCTATTCTATTTGTTTTTGTTATCACAGGGTTCAACAGTAGTACTAACGTGGTCGTTTTAGCTGGCACCAATCGAGCTGATATCCTGGATCCAGCTTTGATGAGGCCTGGTCGTTTTGATCGACATATATACATAGGTAGGTAAAGCACTTGTCTGCCTCTGTCGTATTCTAGCTGTCTCCTCTCCAGCTTTATAATTCCCTGCTGTCATCTAGATGCCTGAGAACTGGTTTCAATTCATGACATTCCTTTTTCACGCACGCACTAAATCTATTTTTCTATATCATCATTTATAACTTGTTGTAAAAGTCGTCTAGTTTGTTTTCAGCATTCCTGCAAATCTATTGTCATTTCTACACTCAATTAAATACAATTGTTTCTTTTTATCATTTGATGTTTGCCATTTGTCGGTTTCCTTAAATAACTGACCTCCTTGCCCTCCTGTCCCTGCATTAAACCACATAAGTGAAGAGTGATCTAATAATTACAAGACCTGGTCAGTAGTCTATGACTGCTCACCAGGCACAATTCAACAAATGCAGTTCAGTGGCATTAATGTGCATGCAGACCCAGATTTAACTTTGTTAGGTTTTTTTTTTTTGCCTGCTTCAGACGCAGGTGCTAAGCTTGACCTCACTGACACTCATCTTGCACTTACTGTATGATTTCGATACAAATTACCTTCAAGCCTATTAGATTTGCTTCTGTTTTTCTTTTGCACCTGCTCACTTCTTATGTCATTAAAAGCGTGTGTTGCACACTGTGCTCTTTTATCTTTGTGGTTAAAATGGTTGATCTTTTTTTGGCTGCCGAGATCTAATTTGCTTTACACCAGCAGTGCTGGACAATGGTGGGCAGGGCAGTTTTTCTCTCTGACAAAGAAAACTGGGTCAGAATGAGAGAGCAGGCTTTCTATAAAAGAAGGATTAAATAACTGGAGGCCAACGTGAGGGATGGGACACACCAATCCTCTCTGTGTTGTTGAGTTTCTCTGTTCCCTTTCCTCTTTCATTTCTGTTGTTACATGTAAACACTGTCGGTCAGATAAAGGTTGCTTAAACAATCACATTACTGATTAATGTTTGATCAGTATTTAGTTAAATAACTTGTCTGTCAGGTTTATAAATGTGACATCCTTGAGAGGTGCAGACAACACTTGTGTTTCCTTTAACAGTTTATAAGTGTGATGATGTTACATCTGCAGCAACTCTTATTTTGATTAAATCTGTTTACCTGTTTATTGTAATTTTGTTCTAAAAAAAGAGTCCTGAAACATAAAACTCAAAATATGTTTGTTTTCTTTTTTTCTACAGGCCCACCAGATATTAAAGGCAGGGCATCTATCTTTAAGGTGCATTTAAGACCTCTGAAGTTGGACTCCAGTATAGAAGTAGAGGCTTTGGCCAGAAAGCTAGCTGCACTAACCCCAGGTTTTACCGGTAAGAACAATAAATATATATTCATGTTTGCGTGTGTGCACACAGCTCCGTCTTTGGATTTATCTAAAAGGATGATACAGTTGGTTTTCTGTATCTGTTGCTGTATTGTTTCTTTATCACACCCCAGTATAACTTGGTTGTTGTGTCTCCTTATGTGCTTTAGGGGCTGATATTGCTAATGTGTGTAATGAGGCCGCTCTAATAGCTGCACGCCACCTCAACCAACATGTCAGCACTAAGCACTTTGAACAGGCAGTGGAGAGAGTTATTGGAGGTGAGTTAACAGCCACATGTATGCATTTAATATTATTATATTATTATTACTCATAGAATGACTACTGAGTATGAGTTATACACCTTATAGAAGTTAGTTAGTAGTAAAAGCAATGGTATTAAAGTGGTTAGACTTTCTATGCATTTCACTAATATAATAATAATATATCTCATTGAGACTTCCTGGAAAGGATTTGATTCAACGGTACTTACAATGTGATTTGACACAATACTCAGATATAAAGTCTTTGGCTCATGCACCAACCCAAAGACTCCATTCCCTCATCTGTATCTACTGTATGCTTGAAGGGCACATCAACCCTGACGGTCAGTGCCCATGATGGAAGACACTGGCTAAGATCAGGAGTTGATGATGTGCTGGCTGCCAACTGCTACTAGTACTTAAAATGCGTTAAATGCAGAGGAATAGTTTCACTATACACTGTACTGTGTATGATTGTATATGACAAATAAAGTTGATTTTAAAATAACTTACTGCTTGTACAAAACACACACAGTGCAATTTGGTTAGACATTTACATCTTACTTGCTCTCAGGTCTGGAGAAAAAGACTCAGGTACTGCAGCTTCCTGAGAAGACCACTGTGGCGTATCATGAGGCCGGACACGCTGTGGCTGGCTGGTTCCTAGAACACGCAGACCCCCTACTTAAGGTAGTCAGACAACCTCTTTTCTCTATCTATATCTGATATGAATTCTGCAGCGGTTGTGTAATCTTCTTTCACAGTCAATTTAGTATACCAAATTAGATTAGATTAATTAGATTAAATTGCTCTCCCTCAGGTGTCCATTGTTCCCAGAGGTAAAGGTTTGGGTTATGCGCAGTACCTGCCTAAGGAACAGTACCTGTTTACCCGTGAGCAGCTGTTCGACAGAATGTGTATGATGCTGGGGGGTCGAGTGGCTGAGCAGATTTTCTTTCGCCGAATCACCACCGGGGCCCAGGATGACCTCAGGAAAGTCACACAGTCTGCCTACGCACAGGTAATAACCACATCTTTCACAATTAGAGGTCACTTGAGAAGTGAGAAGCAGTTGGTTTGAAGTGAAGCAACACTGTTTATCTTTTGACTTACAGTGTCTCTTCATATTTTAGGTTGTACAGTTTGGAATGAACGAGGCGGTGGGTCAGGTGTCCTTTGACCTCCCTCAGCAGGGTGACATAGTAACTGAGAAACCATACAGTGAAACTACAGCCCAGCTTATAGACCAGGAGGTGCGCTTGCTTATAGATGCTGCCTTCCAGCGAACACTTCAGCTCGTCACCGATAAGAAAGAAATGGTGGAGAAGGTGAGAACTATTTTCACTTTCAAGATAATGATTAGTGTTTTAAGTCTGAAAGAAAATCTGTTCTTGAATTCACCACTTGCATATTAATTAATGATGGAGTTAGCCGTCATCAGTAGACTGCTTGCTGTTGACTATTATTGGTCATGTGTTGCAGGTTGCAAAACGTCTTCTAGAAAAGGAGATTCTAGACAAAGCTGACATGGTGGAGCTGTTGGGAACTCGTCCCTTTCAAGAGAAGTCATCATATGAGGATTTTGTTGACGGGCTAGGGGAATTTGAGGAGGACACCTCTCTACCCGAAGGGCTAAAAGACTGGAACAAGAACAAAGGGGATGAAAAACCCCCACAGAATAGTCAAAAGAAATCAGCCCTTTATCTGTAGGTGGACATGCAACCCCAAGGTAAATGTTCCACTGGATTCAGGCGAAGATTTCTCAAGTGCAGCACCACCTGGACCAGACTGCAGTGTGTCAGCACTCTCGTGAACAGCTACAAAAGGAAGAATGGTGATGTGTTGCTTATGTAATTTGCAATTTGTTATTGTAGTATTTATACTCCAGCGGAAATTCCCAAAAAAAAATCTTGTGATTTTAATGTTAGGGCTGTTTAAAGTCAAGGCTTCTGTGAAGAGGGCAGTGTGTGACTTACATTTCACTGGAGATGCCTTCTACACTTCCAACCACACTCTGATGGAGTCCTACTTAATCTATTGTCTCAGTCAGGAAAGTAACTGAGCTCAAGTTACAAATGAAAAAAATAAAAATTGATTAGTTGACATGTGACATTAGTTAGGAGTGTACTGGTCAGTTACACACTGTGCTAGTATTGTGATGGTATCATATGAATAACATTTTATTCTGAGGCTCATTGCCCTTATACAGCCTTGCTCAATTACAGCATAACGATGCTGATTCTTTAGTCTGTGGTGGAGATTTCCATAAAAGAATGCTTCCAGTCTCAGCCAACAGCACTTTATTATGTTGATAGCTAAATATTTAAAATGTGTTTTCCCTGAGTAGGAAACCAAGTTTCTTCTCTTGTTTCTCGGAATTCAAAGGTACTTTCACTGTACTTTTGTTTTAAATCGTTCTTCAGACAATTTTACAGAGATGTAGTGTGTCAGCTTAAATATATTAATACTTTATCACCCCACCAGTCTTCCAGCAAACTTCAACCTTCCTCGACCTAATTCTCATTAATATATAAGTAAAGGCATCTGTTAGAACTCAGTGTTTGCACATTTTCTTACCAATATTACAAATGTTACTGGATCACATGTACTGTAGGTTGTTTTCTCCTCCTCAGTGCCCCATTGTAATATGAGTAGGCATTGATGTAGACATCCATTACTCTAGCTGGATGCTTACTTACGAACAAGTGAACTGAGTAAGAATCAAATAGAAGCTATCAAATACCACACACTGCTGAAATGTTTGCTCTCAAACAGATTTGTAAGCCTTCACACACGCTACCTCAAAGTCTCTGTATGTATTAACTGCCTTTTTAAAATGACATCCTCTGAACAATTAATTGGTCACAATACCAACACAGTCTGGTTGTTTGTTGATCATATGAAATGACTTGGTGCTTTACTGTAGTTGATGTGGATAACACAAATGAGTGAGGGTTCAACGTATCAACGTAACGTTCCTCCAACATTTATCAACAACAAATTGTTGTTATGTTTGAATGTTTTCCCTAACTGTGAGCTAAGCTAGATACATATTCATGTAGCATTCTCATTTCATGTATTTGAGAACAAACCTCTACTAGAAGGGCTGGTTCGTTACACACTGTTACCATAAATAAATAGTGTCTTCATGGTTAATCCAGTAGCACCTGACATGAGTGACCAGGTTTGATATAAAAATGTACTTGAACTATAATGCCTTGCAGTGTGATCCGTGTGGGCCATTTTTTAAATTTGAATCAGGTTTTCCATTAGATAGCTAAAGAACCTGACCAGTGTGACGACACTGGAACATTTTTGTCAGTTTTGAAATCCAGATTTTCAAAAAAAGTTGTATATAAAGATATTGTGTGTTTTGTGCCTGTTTGAAAATGCACTGTTCTTATTTTTGTTTGATGAATATTTCTTAATACTTGTCAGTGAGGATTATTGATTTTACATTGAGACATCTAAAATGTGAGGCAATTTTGGTATTATTAAAAAAAAATGTATACCCCAGCAGTCTGTATTTGTAGTTACTTGGTTTTACCAGCACATATAATTTCTAAAAATGTTAGAATTAAATTGTTAGTGTCCATTTTTTGTTTATTCCATCATGTCAAATAACACATACAAAAAGCCGTAATTGTAGCTGAAGTATCTGAAGGACATTTCATATACTAGTCAGAGGTTGAGCCTTCCTTTCAGAAATGCATACTTTTTTTAGCCCTAGTTTTCAGTGATAACAGTACGTACAGTGGACACAAAATAAATTCTCAAGCCACTATCACTCTGTTGCTGTAAAGTAATTTCATCAGCTTGTCCCCCCTATTCAGCCGAATGTTTGATACTGCACCAATAAATTTAATATAATGATGACCATAGATTTGTATACAATTGTATAAATATATAGCATCACACTTAAAACGTTTGCTTGCTCGCCACATCGAACAGATTAAGGCTGTTTTTCTGAAGTGGAGTTAATAAATGACACACACACTTTTCTTTTTTCAAGACTTTATTCTTCTATTATCCCAGTGTCACTTTTGATCCATCATATCACAGCACTCAGAATTATTGGCACTCCTGGTATAGACATGCCAAACATGAGATAAATAAATCAAGTAATCTGCCATAACCTTTGCGTAGAAAGATGTGAAATATTGCATCCTAAGTTAAATTCATCTTTTAAAAGATGATTATAAAATTGTTGGCACTTTGTTGTATTTTTGGCATTCATGCAAAGCTTATTGAAGTCCACCTGACTGTGGTGCAATTCTCTGTTCATTGCTAACTGCTTCAAGTATTCCCCAACAAGTAGGCTAATGCATCTCTGTTAATGGAATCTGACCACCAACTTTAAAGAACCAGCTCGAATTACCTTAGCAGCAGCGATTCTGGCAGCCATCATTTAAAAAAATGATAATTGGAAAACATTTATTGAAACAAATCTTTAACAAAAGTATTAATGTATGGAAAAGTGTTTCGAGTGTTTCGCATGTAGCTTGCTACTTGGTTTGTTTATCTTTCATGTAATCTGCACCAAATGCCAATAATTCTGGGGGGCACCGTAAATACAGTGAGAGAAATGCAAAATTTTCATTTTCAGTCAATTATAATAACAACAAACATTCTTCATTAAGATGGAGAAGGTGTGATGGATTTGAAGAGTGTGGCCTTACTTTCGTCCACTTTCACTGATTAAGTTGCCTTAATTGCAGGCAACAGAAAAAAAAAACCCTGTCACATTTTCAAGCCAACACATTAAGCCTCAGCGTAATATTTTATTTTGAACAGCTCTATGAACAGAATTATGTTTCAAATAACATCCTTGTAATTCAATGTGAATCCCAGTGTCTGGACTTCACACAGAAACTCTGGCCACATGCTGTGGACACAATTTAGGAACGAATCTCGCTGTCCAGGCTGTTCCCCGCCCTGAGAGGCTGTAAGGATGGAGGTGCTGTTATTATTCTGCTGATCTCATACCCTGTCTGTCATTCAAAAACAAAGCCTAAAATCATCTGGCAGCCCAGAGTGCATAAAAGAACCTCTTGCAGGAAAAACACAATGATTGTGTGTGTTTGTGTGTGTGAGAGAAAAAGAGAGAGGAGAGGGAAAGAGAAGGAGAGTGTGTGTATTGCACATCTCCACATCTTTAGTTAGAGCACAGAGCATGTTGTCCAGAGTTCAACCTGAACTCGTCTGTTCAGCACCATGAAACGTTATGTGAGTGCACAGTGGCAGGTGGGGGGGGCCTCTTGGTCCTTGTTGTGTTCCCGCTCTGGCTCTGTCTGCCTGCCTCTGGGTTTTCTATCTCTCTGTCGTCCGGCTGTTTCACATCAGATATCATGGCTGCTTCGGTCTCTCCAGCTTCATTAAAGGCTCCGGGGTGTCCGAGTCACTGTGGTGCTTTCTCTCTCGTGGGGGCTCAACTTTGCTGCAGCGTGTCCACGAGGGAGAGCGCATGTACCCACCTCTGGGCAGCACAGGCTGGTGGGAACCTGGGAATCAAACACAAAATGACTTGTTACAAACAGGAATCCAGTTGGCAGGAAGAAATACAGATGCATATTGAAAACATGACACAAGGAAATTGCTCTGCACACCTGTCATATTTTGCTTAACTTAAGCTTGAAAATACAATTGTCTTATTGTTTACTGACATCTATACATACTTCTACACCTGCTTTAAGCATTTTTCTTGAGCTGTTCTGTTGAAATGCAAAAGAGGCCTTGCAAGATACAGTTACAGCCATTAAAATACTTTAGTATTAGCTTCACACTCAGATACATACCAGCCATTTCTAGACAGGTCACAGATTGTTGTTCATTCAAGATTACTGGGAGCACACAGATTACATTTTTAGGTATTCTTAAATGTAAAAGATAGGCTTAGATAGGGTAAAAGACTGTTACCCCATCTAACTGTTATCTACCATTTTTAGCTGCTTTCTTTTTGTATAAACTAGTAAATATTAAAAAAAAAAACATAAATAATCTGCAACTCACCTCATCTTATACCAACTTTTTCAATATTTTTTATATTAGCCATGCAAAGATTATTTTTTCCAATTCCATTTTACACCACTTGGTGGAGATATCCAGCCTACCATTAGGACAACAAAAGCAACACAGTAAATACCACTCACACTGCCCATATCGGTCTAATGTTAGGTCTCTTAAGTGAAGGTCATACTCAGTACCTGGTTTATATATTTCCCTAAAGCCACATCCATACCCTCACACACATTAGAGACTGAGAGACAGAGAGAGAAAGAAACAGGGAGGCGGAAAAGACATATTGATCTCAGAAGATTGATGGCGTCTCCACTGGATTTTAATGAGAAGGACAACAACCTCCTCAGCAGGATGAAGGAGTGTGCTGCAGGAAGCGTCATGAACACCTGCTGATGACTGCGTGTTGTGTTTAGACAGTTATATAAGTATGTGTGTGCCATGTGCACACACTGTTTAATGTGTAAGGGTCTGTGAGGCATGTCATTTTTCCAGTCTTTGTGTGTATTATACAGATTTCTGTTGTTGTTGTTCCTGTTTTTGTCCTCTCTAATTAAAAGACAGAAAGGAAAACAACTGAAGAACACACAGAAAGGAATGTTTGGACAGCTGAGAGGTAAAATGATTACATACCTCCCTACAACATACATAGCTGTTCCACTTTTTCTCACTCTTGTTCTCTTAATGTCACTCATAGAGTAGCCTGAGCTATGGGAACATGTACTGTATTCCTTCTGTGCTGCTGGCTAGCAGCCATTCTTCAGTCAGCATGTTGTGGCACTTTCTCTCTCCTACAGAAAACCTGTGAACGCACAGGGAAAACAACCTCTGCGGATCACCAAATTTGTGTATGTATGTGTTTGTACATGAACACATGTGCATAACTTGTGACAATGCCCATCTCATGACACCCAACAACTAATTCCTGCACTGCTCAATCAGTGTGTGTGACCTGGGAAAGTATTTTGCTGATAAAAAGATAATAATCTTTATTGTCTTTAAAAGCCAGGAGTGACCCCAAAAGGCAGTGAGGTGAACTGGAGTCTGACCTTTTACATTCAAAGGAGCTTCTACAGAGGGTCTATAAAATGTGCTCTCATGCTTCTAAAGGATAAATCGCCACTGAATGACACAAGACAAAAAGCTGCTGCTGCACTGCTTATCTATGGGCTGAAACTTTACAACATGCTTCACTTCTGCATCCCAAGCAGTGACATCACTGCAGGTGATTTATATCCAATTGCAGATTGTAAAGAAAACTACTAACTTTTGGAAACAACAATTCAACAGGCTGCAACTTAATTACTGATATATTTTTGCTTGCGTCCATTATAGAGTTGTATTTCCGGTGAGATATTTTTGTCCTCTACTGCACCCTACATAGACTGTCAGAGAGGTAGAATGATACACGATGTGCTGTGTAGTAAATAAACTATGATTGATCGAGGAATTTCTGTTTCTGTTCCCTATTTTCTGCATCACTTCATCCCTTTACAAGTCTACCGAAGAAGTCCCCGGCCAAATCCTTAAATCAAATACCAGCTCTAAAAAAAAAATCAACCAGACAGAAACACAATAGGTTATAGTCTGTAAATGACAAAGGAGGCCAAAGCTATGCCTGTGGTAGTTTTCCACAGATGTAGGTAAATGTTATGGTTCATCAAGTTCATTTGAGAGAAAAACAAAAAGTAAACCTACTGGACAAAGTCAACCTTTTCTGTTTCTGTGCCTCTGGAGCTGCCCTAGAAAGAGACGTTTGATGAAACAGTAATTACTGCATGTTCTTGGCTCTCTGGATTTTAGCTATGAAGTACAACTGATCACTAGTTTTGGATGAACTTCCATGTAGCTCAAAGTGAAAGAGAGAAACATGGGAATGGATAATTGGAAAATTAGAAAAAGAAAGACAGCAGTGTAAACAAAACAAACAAGACATGAGCATCTATAAATAATTCGCCAGTATAGTTACTCAGATTATGATAACTGTTTAAATGGCTTTGAAGGTCTGCTTGTTTCCAGCAGAGAACATTGAATTATTCAGGGGCCTACATTTAGCATGAACCCACTCACCCATCTTCACCCTCTCCTCTCATCTCTTCCTCTCTCCTTTAACCTCTACCTCAACTCCTACATGGCCACCACACACTCAGCAGATTCCCATAGAGTCTAATGCCCACACAGCACAGCTCAATACCACCCGATTTGCAATGCAAACTTTGACACAAACTAATCCAATTACAATACTTCTCTATTTCTCCCCCACCCTGTTCTCCATGATGACTTTATGGATGAATAAACCATTGACTGTATGGAATAAACGTACTTGCCTTCCATTATACTGCCTTTGTCACAATCCTGTTTGCCATATCTTACTATTACAGTTTTAGCAGGGTTGTTCAAGACTTATCAAAAACTGTCTTGCATGAAACTACAGGGCTGAGTAATGAGGGAGGTTTTAGGGAATCCAGACGAAACAGGACAGCTGGTCCAGCTGCAGATTTGTG